AAGAAATTTTGTTTTAGTTTTTCTTGTTTCATCAATAGATGGCGCCAGTAGCTTAACTTCTGTCCAACCTTTCTTTTCTTTCTTCCCCCTTATTTATTTCATTTGCACTTAGCAGCATCAAAACTAGTGTACTGCCAAAAAATTTTTAAAATTTACACTAATTCTTAATGTTGGACCTTTTTTAATTGTTATTCAGCATGATATTTAAACTAAATTATAAACTTCTTTAAAACTTCCTATAGCATTCAACTACATAATTTGATAGTATTTTGATTTTGATAAAGTTTGCAACCTCAAACAAAAATTACTAGAAATTATCTTCATCATGAATTAAAGATGGTCATTTGTCAATGTAGCTCCCCTCGATCGATCATCTTTGATTGAGATTTACACCTCAGTGTAAATTAGCTCCATTTGCAAATTTTCTAGGATGTTACTCATTTTCGTTTTTTAATGGTTAGGAAAATAATGTACGTAAAACTGTACTCCAAATAATTAAAATCTTCAAATATTTTTCATAATAATTAAGGTAACAATAATGGTAATTAATTTATGGGAAATGTATTTATGGACAGTGTAAAATTGCTTCAGGGGCTGGATGAGACCCATGTATAAGCAACGACTTAAAAATCTAAGTTTTTGCCAGCAGTCTACATATTATTGTAAATTAGCTCCATTTGCAAATTTTCTAGGATGTTACTCATTTTCGTTTTTTAATGGTTAGGAAAATAATGTACGTAAAACTGTACTCCAAATAATTAAAATCTTCAAATATTTTTCATAATAATTAAGGTAACAATAATGCTAATTAATTTATGGGAAATGTATTTATGGACAGTGTAAAATTGCTTCAGGGGCTGGATGAGACCCATGTATAAGCAACGACTTAAAAATCTAAGTTTTTGCCAGCAGTCTACATATTATAGGTATACTGCCCATCAGAATTAATGGAAATTGAAAGAAATAAAATTTAACTGATACTTACTGAAAGTCATTAAAAACATTTTGTATAAAAAGATTATTTAATATAAACTACCATGTTTGCCATTTAACTACTCTCAAAATACTATGGAAAATTAAAAATGATGAGATGAATTAAAAATGGTCTTCCCTGTTTTTCAATAAATCTTTCTTTAATATGGTACATGATCACCTCCAACAGAAATGCAAATCTCATATTCGGATTTCATGAAATTTACTAAGCTGTTTGCTGGTCAAGGTTTTCACTGCAAGCCACTGCACTTTTCAGATCCTGGAGGGTGCAGAGAAGCATTTAGCATGTAGCAGTTTGGCAGCCTAAGCCATCCCACACATAATAATAAGCTGGCCAATTCATTCGAGTGATGTCTTCTGCTTCCAAGTACAGTACAACTCCAATTATCCGAACTTTGACTAACCTAATCATTGATTATCTGAATAGTTTTCAGAATTTTCAGAATGAACTGAAGAAGAGAAGTAAAGGGAGAAAAAGGAAAAAGAAGCTCGAGAAAAGGAAAGAGAAGAGACAGGAGAAGATAAGGATGATGTGTCACTTGAGAAAATAAGAAACATTCTTTTGAAAATTCTTGGATGTTCAGCAATTAGTACTGAAGATATAGATGAATGGATAGTGTGCGATTCATCAGACCTTGGGTTCAGGGCTTAATTTCTAAGATTAGAAGTGCCGGAGCCCTATGGAAGACCATCAGCAGAGAGGAACAAGAGTAAATAAATAAATAAAATGACTATTAAACTCATTAATAATTTTAAAATTAAATAGTAATAAATATTAATTAATAGATATTAATCAAGGTTTATGAATTGTTATTTAATCAATAATTATTATATAATTAATTATAATTTAATTGATATTATTAGACAATTAATTATTATTTATTGAAATAATTAAGACTGAAGTAATTAACTAATTAAAATTAAATAAAATGTAAAGAGATAAATTGAAATTTAATATGCGATTTTTAATATAATTTTATTGTTAAAATAAAATTTTTGAGATAAAACTTCTTTTGAAATTGTTATTCAATTACATAAAAGAAGTGCTACAGCCTTCTTATTCAGGGCTCCGGTGCGTTCCGCGATTATGATTTATTACAAAAACTAAGAAGCACCGGAGCCGAGATCCGGTGGGTTTTGGCCCAATTTAAGTTCTGATCATAGGGAAGGAGAGTTCTTTTATTATCACAAAAATTAAATATAAAGTATAGCTGATGAAAATTCCAGGGCGAAACAGAATAAGGGTATGAGTGGGTGGAAACAAAAAATGAGTGGAATCTTGATGATAGAGAACGTTCTCTTTGACCGCGGCTCTCTGCTGATATAATTATAGCCATCAAGCAGATGTATGTCAGGGATAAAATGATCCTGAATTTGACTCCTAAAGATGAATGTAAAGTTGCTGGTTACGCTTCCCCCCATTAGTGGATACAGTGGGAAGACGATGTATAGGACGTGCTTGAGCAGTTTATCTCAGTATTTCACTCTTATTGTACTCGCTGTCACTTAATGCACACTTAAGAACACAAATTTTTCTTCCTGCGAGGATAACTAACTGTAAGCATCGGTAACAATACACTAGATACAATGGCATGGCGAGAAATTTAGGCGCTCCTAAACAAACTCCCTCAAATTTATTGCTTTTCTTAAAGGGAAAGGTTTTCCCATGTTAGTTGGGGGACTTTACTTTAACGTCTCATGTTCTCATGAGTTCGTATTTCTACGGAAATAGAGTATTGCAAGGTCTGCTTATTGTTAAACTAAAACTTTACGAATTCTAAATTTTTTCCCCTTTAAATTGTAGTTCAGTTTTATAAAAAGAAATACTGGATTCCATCTTATTTAGGGCTCTTGTGCGCTCCGGCTAAAATTGTAATTTATCTTAAAAATTAAGAAGCACTGGAGCCGAGCTCTGGTGGGCTCCGGCGCAATTTAAAGCACTGCTTGGGTTTCAAGTTCTAAATGATGATGAATTTATTGAAAGTGTGAGAGAAGATGACCTTAATGTCAAAACTGAAGCAGACATGGGACCATCAGGTAGTGCAGCATTTGCTGGTCTTGAAACTGTGCTAAAGTCGATGCAGCATCAGCCCAATTGTGACCACATGCAACTTCTCACTGTCAAGTGGATGCGCAACTTGGCTGGCTGAAAACAGATGAGAACAGTCAAACAGCTTACTTTGACGGAGATGTTCAGCAAGCAATGACTTACAGCACATGCAAGTACTGTAGAGTATGCTATATAACATGTATGTAAAAGTGTTGCCTTTTCATTTTAATTAATTAAAACCACGCTTTCGTTAAAAATAGTTTTTTCTCCCATTTTCAACATATGGTATATACAGTAATTAATTAATGTACACCTTTTCTTCAGAGAAAATCCAATTACCTGAATTTTTGATTATTCAAATGGTGTCCAGTCACAATTGATTTGGATAATTGGAGTTCTGCTGTATTAGAACACCAGACATGTGCACTGCAGATGAATATTGTCATCCTTTAGCATAAAATTTAGGCCAATACTCATAAACAGCCTTAAAAAGTTCGAAGACCTGGCCCACATATCCATGATCACTTACAGAATCTCCATCAAAGATGTGCAGGTTGTGGCAGCCATTTTTGATGATTCCACCCCAAACCAGAAAACTGCTTCTGTGGAAAAGGGATCCTTCACAACAGTGGAAGGCAAGTCGCATGATCCTTGATCCATTCAGAACAAACCATGTCCAGAAGCACAATTTAGGCTATATCTCAACTAGTCAATAAACAGCACAGGTCCTAGGATCTCCTAGGCTTTGTCTAGGCTCCACTGAAAACGTCATCGATGCCACTTTAAATGAACTTCTTTTGAAAGAGGAAGTTAATGGCAGACAAACCACTTGTTTTTCCACATTAAGTCAACATCCACTGTCCTAAAAATTTAACACACAGCTATTGTTGTTTTTTTTAACAAAAATCTGCACAGAATAATAGTGTTTAAAGCTTATATGAAATTCTAAAAAATAAATATTCTGATTCACAGAATTGAAAGGCTGATTTCAATATGCTTTGTCAAATATATATATATTGTTCTTCAGTAGACCATAAATGTTTACAGCATAAACTGTCTGCTATAGTACGGTTGCACCATTCCATCGCATAATAAGATTATTCTTACTTCCACTGTGCAATAAGATTATTCTTACATTTTCATGCTAAGTGGATCTAAGAACAATTTGATGATAACAAAACTCTCAAGGGGCCCCTATGCAGATCCCAGCCCATTTAACTGCCAGGAGTACAACCTGAAGCAAACTACCAGCATTTTTCAATATTACAGCCTTAGCCACTCGTTGACATTTTTACTGTTTAAGAAAATATAGCAAATAAATGCGAGCTATAAAGTTAGACAGATCTTTTTAAATTAGTTTTTTTTACATTTAATTTTGTTTTGAGGAAACAGTCATACAAGCAATGAATCCTACTAGTTTTAACAAATTATATGAATACAGTAATTTCTTGATACTACATATTAAATAATGAACACATGAAAATTATTAAAAAAGTGGGTTAATGTTTTGGTTCTTAAATCACACATATATGATACAAAGATTTTTTTATTTTTAATATTGCAAACATGCAAAGTACATTCTAATTAATATCTTTAATGCATTATGTTAAAAGTTAAACAAACCAAACAAAATGGTGCAAAATATATAAGACAAACATATACTACAAACATGAGAAGCTATGAAACATTTATTATAAAACTATAAAGAAAATTTAACATAATAATTAATAAATAACAAAAAATTTGCTAATAACCTTGAAATACCTTAGTAAAAAAAATATTTTTAATGTAAAACTTAAGTAATCAAGCAATTACATACAACTAACACAACATATTGTGAATCAAAATAAAAGTGCATAATGTGCATGAATTTATAAGCAATAAGTTCTGTAATTGCAAAGCAGTTAGTATTTCAGCCAGCTGATGCCTAAAACCAGTATAAAGCAACATATCTTACATCACCATTAGATCTATCTTTCCTTCGCAACATATTTCCTTTCCTTGCAACAGTGCTAAAGATTTTCTCCAGCTAGAAGTATGGGAAATTAAAAACACTGAAGAAAAAAACTGAGATTTGAAGAAGAAAAAAAAGAATAAAAACTTTATTTCAAAATAATAAATACATAACTTATTATTGTGATACGACGGCAGAACACTTTAAAACTAGCTAATACATTCATGCTTTAAAAATGAAATTATAATGTTATTTCACACATATAACTGCTAAGAACGTTAGTATTTTCAATCTATTTATATTCAGCCATTATAATAAATTATTTACTCAGTTTTATAATGCTATTTTTAGTAACAGTGCATTTTCATGTTCGGAAGAAACTTTTTCAAACTTATTAATGACTGAAAAACAAATCTTTAGTATACTTTTACAATAATTTATGGACATACCTTGTTCATCAGGCTCTTAGTAGTCTTTTAACACTATTCTTCATTATTTTCTGATCCATAAAATGTTATTATATTGATTGCCTAGTTCTAGAAAAAGCACATTTTTTGCTGCATTGTATTGAAAGAAATTTTCTGTTGCACATATGCTATATGATTTACAGTTCTGCTTAATGGTGAATACCCTGAAATTGTATGGGAAGGCAAAAAATATGCCAAACAGACCAAAATTTTATTTAATTTTGCCTCTAGCCATACATAGTCGAATTGTTATAGAAAAAAGTCTTAAAAATAAAGTGTATTTTTTCTACAAAAATTTATTTGTTTACATTTCAAGAATCTAATATGCATATTACATTATATTTACAAGGGAAGTTTGATTTATTGTAAAAGCATGATCGTTTGAAATAACAAAAATAACACCATGAATATGATATTGAGAGAAATAAGTCACAGAAACCCAAATTATCAGAACTGCTTTCCTTGAATTTAGATATAATTTTTATGAAAACATTCTTAAATGTTAAAATAATAAGAAAATATATTTAGGTAAAAAGTAAAAGATTAAAAAATTTTGGAATTCTACTTACAATTGGTTTCAATCTTAGAATTTAGAAAATAATTTTCACAAAATACAGAACCTAATCTCAATAGTTAAATATTATACATAAGGAAAAAAGTACAATATAAGCAAGAAATCTACATTAGTAAATAACATGGAAATAAGGTACACTTCTGAAGCAAAGGATATACTGTCTCATCACTCCCATTACAGTTACGTAACATAGTGCGTAGTCATACTGTGCATCAAATCCAACTGGCTGATTAAATACATTATACAAAAATATTCTCTCTCTCCCAAAAATTAAAAGGTAGTAATTGTTTTCGAACACAATATTTCTGATCTACAGAGGTATGTTACGTATCAGACTTTATACGATACCACAACAAATGTTAAACACTAAACAAATCATAACAGAAAAATAATAAGTGTCAAAACACAGGAACAAAAAATACAGTTGAAATACATATTGCATAATAAGTTCCATATGGATTTATGATTACTACTACAGCTTATTTGTGTATACAGTATACACCCAACGTGTTTCATAACTAATGCTTGCTTATCTCATCTCTGCAAAAACATTTATCAGGTCGAGTTGATGTTCCATATATGCAATAGGTCGATCATGGAAAAGAAGTTTATAAAAATAACATATTTATATAGCCTAAAGATTCCTTATTAGGTGCCAGACTGACAGTTCCAATCTTCAATGAACATGGAAAATTTTGCATAGTTTTGCCTATTCTGTACTTCTACGTCCTAGCTGTTACAACACAGCCCATGAAATTAATACAAACCTTTCAGAAATGGAAATTTTCATCAGTATATACAGCATTACTCTTACACATTTGCATTTTAAGCACATACTCAAAGTTAATATTATTTTTAGGAAATTATCATCGGTAAAAATTTCCAATGAGTTTCATGCTGAGTGTTCATAATATGAGACATGAAACGACCACCTCTACAAGGCGCTATAAATCTTCATAAACTTCAGAATACAGACAGAGAAAAATCTGTATCAGATAGAAGAGAATCTGCAATACTAAAAACATTATGATATAAGTGAGGCTTTAAAATTTTGCTTTTAACTACACCTCTCTATTTTGTAGAGTAGCACCTCAGAGGTCCAGCTGAGATCTATGAATAATCAGTGATACACTTTTCTTTTATCCACATCTTTTAGTAATGTCAGTACCTCAATTAAACTACTTACATGCAAAACATGGCTGCTTCATATACTGGAGATAAATTTTTACGACTGACAGTTTATTAGCTGTCATGGCCATCACACTGGTTGGATTTGAACCCATGTTCCCAAAAGAATTTTTATAAAACTTAAGTAGAATATCAGATAAAAAATAATTTCTACCATGATAAAAATCCTTGAGGTTTGTTATCAAAAATGTTAGTAGAATTAAAAGCTAGAGCAATAAGACTACAGGGCCGGCACTTGGCTTTCTGCACTAGCCTGCTTACAGGGCTGGCACTCCAGTGCAGTCTTTCTGGTTACAGAATACCATTCTGTAACCTCTCTGGTTACAGAATTAGGTTGTTCTTATACAACCCAGTACCACCCTAAATAATAATGAAAGAAAAAAAGCCTCTGCTAAATTCAACAGTACTGGTGCTGCCCAGTGTAGATGCAACAGCGATGTTGCCTTCCCTGTAAGAATGTTTCCATATTATGAATGACAGACTATAATTCTTCTGTGGAACTCACTGTAAGATTTTTTAATAGCCTCTACAAAAAAGAAATAACATAATGAACCTACTCTTCATTAAAGTAATGTATATTTATTTTATTCCTATATATTTGACTTACTTCTGACTTTAAAGATTAAAATGCGATACAGCATTTTATGGTGAATTTAGAAGCCTTTTTTTTTTAATTAAAAAAACTCACTTATCTAGGTCAACTTAATTCTCATTTCAACGTAGTTCATTTAATGCAGAGGCACTAGACTTAATTAACACATGAATACACTGTATGTCCAGAAATAAATCTAATGTTATCAAATACTAAAATTTAAAAATATACTTTCATCTAGCAAATTTTATTTATAACTTTTTACTAGACTTCAGATAGGACATTTCATATAATCCTAATTTTTTTATGATTTTCCAAGCTGTATATTAAAATTAAAAATTAATTAAAAATTTTAATTTTACACATAACAGTTTTCAATTATTCTTATAGTACTATTTTAAAGTATTTTAATAATTACCTGTTACTTATAATGTAGACTTTAAATGACATAAATTAAAAATTATAAGAATCTGTTTAATAAAATAATGAGAATCATAAAATTCTTTTTCACATTTACAGGTTAACTGCTGTGCTTTGTGCAATAAACAAATATGCAAATGAAAAGATATACAATTAAAACAGTACCAAAAATAAAAAGCTAACATAAAAAAACGACATGTAAACTACTTACAACTTTAGGTGGAACACCAGAATAAAGTCCTATATTTTCAGATGTTCTTTTAAAAAAAGACTTTACTAAAAGGTGTAGGACCTATGGAAATAATGCGCTCAAAAATAAAACAACGAAAAATATAACAGCAACATAAGAGGCTATGGGGAAGCAATATAAAGATGCATATACAGAAATTATAACTAAAAGCATATGTGCAATAACAAAATGCTTGAATTAAAACATTAAAAAGTTAAATATAATTAAAATACACGAATGTTTCAAATTTTGTTTGAACTCTCAGAATTCATAAAGCAAGATAATAAATAGTTCATGTCTTCTCATTTATTTGTTGTAAAATGTTAAAAAATCAATGGCAATAATAATAAATGATATATTGTCTAAAATATTTTTGGGACTACCTTCACCAGGAACAAACATTTTTAGTTATTAAACCAGAAATATACCATTTGGGAGACATTTTCTGAAGGGATCAAAATAAAATTTTCTCGCTACTAGTCTGATTAAAAGTCTTAAAAAAATAAAAGAAAAATATAACCATACAAATGAGAATATCATTTTTTTTTTCAAGTTTATAAACTAAAACTTAAATCAGAAAAACAAACATGTGATGTATTTCGATGTTATTTTGTGTAAGAATCACTAAAAATACTTTAAAAAAATTTAAAAGACTAATAAAAAGGCAGATAGTCTGGAAGGAGTCAAACTTCAGTGTTTGTCAGAACACTTACTGCACATTGGTTTTGTCAATTGCAAATGGATAGTCTTTTGACAGTGTATAAAGAAACATTTTTTTATTCTGCAATCTTTCTAGTGCATATATAATGTGTTACATTTTCCTATGCAATGACAATTCATTAACTGCATTTTATTCTTCTGAAACACTAAGCATCTGATCTTGTGTCACTGCATATATATTATAAAGTTAGACACATAATCATTGCTTAGCTTTTTGCATGCTTTTATCGATTACATCAGCTGCTTTGCAAAAAAAAATACACTTTTGGATTACTTTCTATAATAGCTGCCGATAAACATAATTTGTATCACACTCATGAAAATCTTCAAAAAATCATCACAATCACTAAATCGCTATTAACTTACTCTAGACCTTTTTAGTGCAGTATAATACAGAGATAACAAGATGACTGTTAAGATTTTTAATTAATTTAGATCAATGTATACATATAAGTAGCCTTAAAATAATAGTATGACCATATAAGTTATCATGTAAGTTGTTATAGGTAATAATTCTAAAAAACTGTTAAAAATATAAACAAAACTTTAATTTATTTTTTAAAAATTAAATTAGGAGGAAAAAATCTGAACTTTTTTTGGATTAAATCTTAGCTACAAATTATACAAAAGAAAAGCAAGAAAATGTAATTAAGAAGTCTACTTTATCAAATATAAACCAAATTCAATTGATTCATAACTCGTTCTTGAGTGCTACTTAAAAGATGCTCATGAAAATTTGATAAAAGTTGGTATTTTAACCTTATCTGTGGCATATAATCTAACTACAGAAAAATATTAGTACATCATATGTCCTAAACTATGCCTCTGAGGCAAGAAAATGCAAATTAAATTTGGCTGATCTGTCAGCTAATATAAAAGAAGTATAATTGTCCTTTTCTTTAAAAATAGTCACAAGTCAGTTCAAATGCACATAAGTATTAGATACCGAAGATTCTCGGTGAAGCAGAAAATGAGAGGAAAAGAAAAAGACCTAAAAAGGCATAGACTAACAGTTTATGCCGAACAAATTACTCTACACAAAATAAATTTATAAATATTCATTGAAAGTTTTTGAACTTAACAATAAGTATTTGAAAGAAGTTCCTTGACTAGAAAAGTTTACTCAATGAATAAGTTCATTACCACAAAACTCTTTCAGTTAATAATTAGAACTATTAATTGAACTAAGCATTATAATAGCCTGAAATAAATTATACTTTGCTCTGCACCATTTGTGTTATTAACTTAACAGATTAATTTCAAAATTAATAGTTCTCAGATGCTAAGAACTACATTAACTTATTAAAACAATTTTAATCTTGCAAAAAAATTAACCTTATCCTACTTATAATACTTACAGTTTTATACTAATAAACATAGCTTAATTTTATAAATAGGCAAAAATCTGATATTAAAAAGAAAATGACATTAAATTCATGTAAATATAGCAACTGTAGAATAATTTACCACGAGAAATTCCTTTTTATCCACCCTTTGGTTGCCATCAGTATCAAACATATTAAATGCAATTCGAAAACCCGACTGTGGTTCTGAAATTGAAACAAACCAGACATAAATATAGTATTACAATTTTTTTAAACAAAAATATCCTAATATTATTTTTGCTCAATATGCTACTGAAAAATGAATCAATTATGCATAAAATAGTAAGAAATTTAGAACCATAACCACAAAGACTGAAAGAAATGAAATTTAAGATCAGTAAACTAACTCTCCCAATAAAAAATGCAAAATAACCTATCAAATCAGTGTTTTTAAACCAGAAGAATTGCCTAAAACAGTAGCACTACATCAATATACAAATAAAAAGAAAAGGAATACAATTAAAATCTGATTCAACGTTATCAAGAGGAGGTAGATCAGATTCAACTGAATCCCTCTTTCTAAGAAAACCACCGTGTAGTTCATCCAAAATTATCTAATAAACCATTTTAAATTATTTAATTATAATAATTCATCCAAAGATTTAAGGATTTTACTGATTTAAAATTTAATTTCTTTCATGTCTTTGTAGTTATGGTTCTATATCACAATTATAATGCTAGAAAACATAGAGCTAAAAAAATGTTGCAGCTATCAGACGACTAATAAAAATAATAAATTATCTTTTGTACTGTATGCAAATGTATCAAGCGATGAAATAAAAATTAAAAAGGAACACTTCCAATTATATATGATGAAAACCTTTTCCACATATACCTCTACATAAGACTGATTGAAAAACAACTCACTAATTCCAAAATAATCAAACTTGTATTGCCAGCTCTCAATACAAAATTGATGAACAGCAATTCAAATGTGGTTCTTGTGAACATATTTGGCTAAAAATGCATAAAACGTTCTTCATATTCTGCTCAATGAGCTGTAGAGAAGAACTGTTATTAATAGCTTTGATTAGCTTTACTTTTTTGTTCAAGGGGCAGAGCACCCTTTACTATCAATACTGCTTATAAAACCTTGCCATGTAGTTTTTGCCCTAAGTGGAAGCTTAAATAGGGTAAAAAAATGGAACATTGAAAGAAATCTAAAAGTCAACTTTTGAAGGATTTAAAATACGAGTAACATGCATATTTGAAATCATATTAACCTCCATGGGGGATTTGTAGCAGTTTTATTGTTTGATCATCGAAAGGTGAATATTGGAAACACTATTTTTTACAGGTAAAATAGGAAGCGATGACACTCTTTCTTTAGAATTTTCACAACTGGAGGAAAAAGACAGTTCATTTGCCACTTTTATGCAGACTCATATATTTATTCATCAATCATTTTTAAATAGGCCATTTAGAAATTTATCAGGACATGAAATGTATCTAAGGAATACATGTAATTATAGTTTAATGTAAAAATTTAGAATTTTCTACAACTGAAATTTTGCTTTCTTTCTTTATTTATAAACATAAAATCACCTATGTTTTAATACTGTTTCAAGCAAAATTTTATTTTCCTTTCTTAATGAAAATTGTTTTACGTATATCATTCTTATATTGGCAAATGACAGCAAATGGAAAAAAAAATAGGAGTACTTGCATTTTGCATAGTTCTATTTTCAATTATTTTAACTTAATACTTAAATACAATGCATAAATTCTTTCTACAACAGAAATAACTCAAAAGAAAGTTATTTACAAATCACATGTCAAGTTATTTTCATTAAATTTTAATGTAAATATTTAAAACCATTTTTGGCAATTATAATAAAAAAAGCAACTAAAATTTTTGTTAATCCATTTTCTATCATTGTAAAATAACCTATCAACTCAGTGTATCATTTTGTGCATAAACTAATTAAGAAATTTTAATTTGCTTCATTTCAATCAATGAATGAAAAATTAAATCATGGCTATTAATTTGCAATGCTTAAAACAATTTCTGGTTTTAGCTTGACATTAGGTGTTTTCTTAAGTAACACTCTGGTGAATAATACTAACAGTCACACAGTCTATTAATTTGACACAGGCTTCAATTTTAAAGAGGTTTTAAAGATGCTTTAAATATTCAAATTTGTACACCAAAATTCCATTTTAAAAATGCAGATGAACTTATTTCTTTAATATCTGAAACTCAAATACTAAAGGTTGGAAAAAGTTACATTATTACTAAACAATCATGAATTTTATGATGCAACACATTTATTTACATATATTATGTATCTAACAACATTATTTAGTATATTATAAATAATTTATTGCTAATAAATGACCTATGCTGTTTGGAACAATCGATAACATGCAAATGTTTTATAGGCCATGGACAAGATGGAAATCAAGCAGTGCTGCCAAGTGAATTCAGCAAGTTTACAAAGGTCTACAATTAACTTTGCTACACAAATGAAATAACTGACCTGAATATAGTCTTTAATTTAATCTAAAATTGAATACATATTTTGAGGATGCAGTATATTCTTCCTCTCATCTTTTTTGAATGATTCAGTCCCATACAGCAATAGAAGAAAATTTTATTCAGTGAAATCAAATAAATACAAGGCAGGTAAAAGATCCACAGGTATCAGTTTAGAATAGAAAAAAGACAAAGGAATCTCTAAAATTTCCGGGAAAACATAAAAATTCAATGTTTGGTACAAATGAATTATGTATGATTCCTACATATTTCATTTGTATATTCATATTTTAGATATTATGATTTCATATTTTCATACCTGCCAACCTCTAAAGATAAAAATTCAGAAGATTTCTCCCCAAATTCAGAAGAACACGAATAATTAATATCATGCTTTGATATTAAAAAAATAACAATTTATACAAATAGAAAAAAGAAAATTGTACTTACATTAGTAAATCTCAATTAAGTAGTAACTAAAAAATTTATTAGGAAACATAAAACAAGAACTTAATGTTACACAAAAAAATTATTGCAATGAATTTAGAGTGCATTTTTTGGCTTTAGCCAAAAATTCTTTGGAAAATTTCCTGTCATAACAATTAGTTTCCTCATAACATTTAGCAATTAAAATGTTTTCTAGAGTTTTTATTGAAATTGAAGAACGAAACAGTTTTGTTTTTCTTCACAACACTGAAGACTCTCTTGCACTCAGCATTACTGTGTGGAATTACGAGAATAGCACATAAAACTCTTGCTAGTCTATCATATTTTGGTGTTCCATCAGCTCTTTTTATTCTTTTTAAGGTACCAACAAGGACATCAAGTCTACCTTCTCCAGAACTGGCAAAGTCTTCAAACTGTGCAGCAGAAAATTGGTTCTGTAGTCCATCTAAAGTATCATTATTGCATTCATTTTCTTTAATCGTTAACAAAAATGGAAAATTATCAATAAAGAAACGAATCTTTTCAAAAGATGAATTTTCAGTTTGTTTCAAATTTGCCACTTCAGCATTTAAAAGAACTTCATTTTGGAAAGGAAACTTTCTTACAGCAGGGGAGATTTTTGGCGAAGCTGATTGTAGAAGGGTATTTGCATTTTCAAAAATCTTAATGGTACTTAACACAAAACTACAATATGCTTTGTTCAAATCCGAAGAAAGAAGATAGAAAATCCTTTCCTCCCGGCTAATAGACGACTGTTTCTTCTTCCCTTCAACTTCTTTAGCAAAGTTGACCTTTGAGGAGTCTTCTAAGCATTTTCTTTTTAAAGGGTTTGATTCTGTGTGTTGGCTTTTCCCTTTTAAAGCATTTTGATTAGAAGCAAAGTTGGTTTTCAGAATCTTATATGCCGACAAATTTGATGGGATCTGTGGTTTCGTTTTGATCTCTTCGTGGAAATATTCTAAAATAATTTTAGATTGGTGATGTTGTACTTAGTAAAAAGCTTCACATGTCTCCCTTTTCCAAGAATTTAGGAATATTACTTTCTAACATGTCTTAAAACTAAAGCTTTTACAACTGAGATACTTCAAAATATATTAGGCAGAGGCTATCAACAGTCACCCTTACTGCATATTTATGCTAGTTCATAACAAACCGAAAATCACTGAAACAAAAACATAACACTGAAGCTTAAGAATGCCATCCTTTTTCTCTTATTTTGTGAGTTTCAATCTCATGATTATTAATTCATTAAACAGGAATTTCCTCAAGCTACAAATACCTTTACATTTTGCATCCAACAAAAGTTTGATTATAGAATTTGATACCTCATCTAGAATAACAACCAATAAGATGAAACATATTATTTATTCATAGCTAATGCTCTGATGTTTTATTTCACCAATAGGTCTATAATTTAGTATTCATATTGCCACTGGAACAGTAATTTCATTACTATGAAAATTTAAGAGAATGTTTAGAGATTTCAAAATATCAAGTAAATGCATAAATTCCCATTTAACTCTTATTTTCCAGTTTTTTATAATTATTAAATATTTTTTATATTTAAGTAGTTTTAAAATTGCCTTCCTATGCTTTAAGATGGGGACCAATTTAAAGAAAATCTTGATTGTATAAAACGAATCTGGAAGAATCTCATGACAGCGAAGCTTTGTTTTATTTCAGGAACAATAATAAACTGTTTCCCCAAAACTAAAAAAATATGTCATCCATTGCCTATGAATAACTATAAAAAATTCTGAAGACACTATATTAATTCTTCACCGGTTGTGAGAGCAATTCTTTCTTCCCAAATATACAATATAATATATATATATCCCAAATATGTACAATATCTGTCAGTCGTAACTTTGTAATACAAGATGTATTCATTTGCACCAACTGTGGAGCATAACTGGAATGCAAGCTGAGCTTGTTAATGACCATCAAAAGGTTAAGGAAGAATATCAGTACAAGTTATAACTTTTATAATGCAATAAAATCAACTTATCCATTTAAATGACAGCTTATATTCAGCAAAACCCACCAATGCTCAGTTTGAGCACTCAGTTTCTCACTTTCTGTGAGAAACGACAATTGCAGCTGCAGCATAACCAGAGCTATAAATCAGATAAGATTCATCACTTCTTTATGAGACAAAATCTCATCAGCAGGAAATTCTGTTATTTGTGTAATAATTAATTCTTCCAGCATTTTTGGGGAAAAAAAAAAAAAAAAAAAAAAA